CTACGGGATCAACGACAAGGTCCTAGATGCACTAAAAGAAAAAAAGAATGCGATGAAATATATATAGACTTTGCAAAAGCCTTCACAAGTGTACCAGGCGTAATAGCGCACAAAATGCGTGCTAAAAGGAATTACAGGAAAAGTTGGTAGATGGATCTATAATTTCCTCACAAACAGAACACAAAGAGTAGTAGCAACAGGTAAAGTCTGAGGCGGTTACGGTGAAAAGCTCTGTTCCACAAGGCACAGTACTCGTTTTCCATCTTGTTTGCCCATCTTCATATCTGACATAGACAAGGATGTCAGCCACAGCACCATGTCTTCCTTTGCAGATGACACCCGAATCTGCATGACAGTGTCTTCCATTGCAGACACTGCAAGGCTCCAGGCGGACATCAACCAAATCTTTCAGTGGGCTGCAGAAAACAATATGAAGTTCAACGATGAGAAATTTCAACTACTCCGATATGGTAAACATGAGGAAATTAAAACTCCATCAGAGTACAAAACAAATTCTGGCCACAAAATAGAGCGAAAAACCAACGTCAAAGACCTGGGAGTGATCATGTCGGAAGATCTCACCTTCAAGGGCCATAACACTGTATCAATCACATCTGCTAGAAAAAATGACATTATGGATAATGAGAACCTTCAAACTAGGGATGCCAAGCCCATGATGACACTCTTCAGGTTGCTTGTTCTATCTAGGCTGGAATATTGCTGCACACTAACAGCACCTTTCAAGGCAGGTGAAATTGCTGACCTAGAAAATGTACAGAGAACCTTCACGGCGCGCATAACGGAGATAAAACACCTCAATTACTGGGAGCGCTTGAGGTTCCTAAGCCTGTATTCCCTGGAATGCAGGTGGGAGAGATACATGATTATATACACCTGGAAAATCCTAGAGGGACTAGTACCGAACTTGCACACGAAAATCACTCACTACGAAAGCAAAAGACTTGGCAGACGATGCAACATCCCCCCAATGAAAAGCAGGGGTGTCACTAGCACGTTAAGAGACCATACAATAAGTGTCAGGGGCCCGAGATTGTTCAACTGCCTCCCAGCATACATAAGGGGGATTACCAACAGACCCCTGGCAGTCTTCAAGCTGGCACTGGACAAGCACCTAAAGTCGGTTCCTGACTAGCCGGGCTGTGGCTTGTACGTTGGTTTGCGTGCAGCCAGCAGTAACAGCCTGGTTGATCAGGCTCTGATCCACCAGGACACCTGGTCACAGACCGGGCCGCGGGGGCGTTGACCCCCGGAACTCTCTCCAGGTAAACTCCAGGTAAACTAACAGCACCTTTCAAGGCAGGTGAAATTGCTGACCTAGAAAATGTACAGAGAACCTTCACGGCGTGCATAACGGAGATAAAACACCTCAGTACTGGGAATGCTTGAAGTTCCTGAACCTGCACTCCCTGGAACGCAGGCGGGAGAGATACATGATTATATACACCTGGAAAATCCTAGAGGGACTAGTGCCGAACTTGCACACGTAAATCATTCACAACGAAAGCAAAAGACTCGGCAGACGATGCAACATCCCCCCCAGGCAGCCAGCTTTCAGGGAGAAGGCTTACAGCTTTTCATCTCATCCCCTGCATGCATTTCAGCCAGAGATCAGTGTTTGTGTATATTTCGCCTGCTCTTGCGAATTCCTTGCATTGTTAATATCTCTAGTAAGGCTGATGCATGCAGGGGATGAGATGAAAAGCTGTAAGCCTTCTCCCTGAAAGCTGGCTGCCTTGGATCAAAGTCAAACTTACCATTGCTATCCAAAATCTTTGAGAAACTCGTGCACAGGAGACTATATTCATTTATAACGGCACAAAACATACTCAACCCCTGCCAATTTGGATTCAGGAAAAATAAAAGCACCAATGATGCAATCATAAAAATGCTAGATCTGCTCTACACAGCATTGGAAAATAAGGAATATCCACTAGGAATTTTTATTGACCTAAGAAAAGCTTTTGACACAGTAGACCACGACATCCTACTCCACAAACTTGACCACTACGGTATAAGAGGCCATGCGCTTGCTTATTTCAAATCTTACCTTACTAATAGGTATCAGTATGTCACCAAATTAAAAGACACAGCATCAACAACACGGCCACTTGAAAACTGGAGTTCCGCGGGGAAGTGTCCTTGGCCCCCTGCTCTTCCTCATATACATCAATGATCTTCCAAACGTATCCCAACACCTAAAACCCCATTCTCTTTGCTGACGACACGACTTATGTCACCCTTCACCTTAATCTTGCCACCCTCAACACCATTGTTAACGAGGAGGGGATAAAAATTATCGACTTGGATGACAGCCAATAAACTTACGCTTAACACGGGACAAAACCTACTATATTATGTTTGGTAGCAGAGCAGGAGATGCACAAATTAACATTAAGATCGACAACACTCTAATTACCAGACATAATGAAGGCAAATTCCTAGGCCTATACCTTGACAACAACCTGAATTTCAGCACCCATATCCAACACATAACCAAAAAAGTATCCAAAACAGTTGGATCCTCTCCAAGATACGATACTACGTGCCGCAAAATGCCCTTCTCACACTATACCACTCACTTATTTATCCATACCTCACCTATGCTATTTGTGCTTGGGGATCAACTGCAGCAACACACCTAAAGCCAATAATAACCCAACAAAAAGCTGCAGTAGGATTAATCACTAAATCCCATCCCTGGCAACACGCGTGTGTGTGTATGAGTGTGTGTGTGTGTATGAGTGTGCGTGTGTGTGTGTATGAGTGTGTGTGCGTGTGTGTGTATGAGTTTGTGTGTGTGTGTGTGTGTGTGTGGTGGTGTGTGTGTGTGTGTGTGTGTGGTGTGTGTGTGTGTGTGTGTGTTTATGTGTGTGGGGTTGTATGAATTTTTATGTGTGTGTGTGTGTGTGTGTGTGAGAGAGAGAGACTCAGCAATCAACATTTGCACCAATAACTCACTACAGTTGTGAACCGGGTGTGGAAGTGTAAATTTTGCTCATTACTCTAAAATTTGTTCATGATTGAGCCATGTATAAACGTAAGTAACCATTCTTACAGTATTCTTTTACCTTTGTAACTTGTGAGTTTCATTACCTTTGTAACTTGTGAGTTCATTACCTTGTACCTAGTTCAGCCATCAAAACTTTGGAGCCCGGTCCCTGGACCCTTTGTGTACCTTGTAATCTGTAAATACCTTTGTAACTTTCATGATTGTGACTAGACCTACCTGGAGTTCATTACCTTTGTAAATTGTGAGTTCATTACCTTTGTAAATTGTGAATTTCATTACCTCTGTAATTTGCTCAGCTATCAAAACTTTGAGGCCCAGCCCCTGGACCAATTATGTACCTCTGTAATCTTTTGACTACCGCCCACAGGATGGGTATGGGGTGCATAATAAACATATTAAACTATTAAACGGGAAACCCCACCCCCACACTCTTCATAGATCTAAACTTACTCCCTGTCAGTAATTCCCCAACTTACTACTGTGCAATCTACATCTACAGGACCTTAAACTCCAATATCAACCTTGACCTAAAACGCTTTCTTGATAGTTGTGACAGAACCCACAGGCATAACACCAGACACAAACATCTCTACGACATTCCCCTTTGTCCGACTAAACCTTTAAAAAAATTTTCAATGTATATCAAAGGCCCTAAAATCTGGAAAAAACCCTCCCTGAGAACTCTAGAACTGCAGACACATTCATCACCTTCAAAACTACCATTAGAAAACATCTTATCTCCCTGATATACCCCGTCAACTAACTACACGAATACCACCTGGTGGTTCACACTTACACTCACTCACCCATTTGACCATAAACAGAAATATTAATCTCAATCTTAAAATAATGAATCCTGTGATACTCCAATACTGAAACTATGTACTGTGCCAAAACAAAAGCATTCACATTGCTAAACTCACAAACTAGTATTTAGTCACTTAGCCATAATACCAACTTACCTCATAATTTGTAATATTTTAAAAACAAGAATTAAACTAAGTCTGCCCCTAGATGGAAATTTCCCTAATTCCTTCTATCTTGCACCAACTGAGCCCACGGAAGTCATTGAGATCATAAAGTCACTTAAAAATAACTCGGGGAATCTGTCTCATGTCCCACCATTACTGCACAAGCGAGCGGCCCATGTCCTTTCGCATGCTATTTCATTACTTTTTAACAAGTCAATAGAGACTAGCACCTTCCCGAAACTACTCAAGATGGCAAGGGTTACACCAATACATAAAGGTGGTGACCCTACAGACTTAAACAACTATAGGGGCCCAAAATCTAACTTTTCCATTGCTATCCAAAATCTTTGAGAAACTCGTGCACAGGAGACTGTATTTATTTATAACGGCTCAAAAAAATAAATCAACCCCTGCCAGTTTGGATTCAGGAAAAATAAAAGCACTAAAGATGCAATCATAAAAATGCTAGATCTGCTTTAAACACAGCATTGGAAAATAAGGAATATCCACTAGGAATTTTTATTGACCTAAGAAAAGCTTTTGACACAGTAAACCACGACATCCTACTCCACAAACTTGTCACTACGGTATAAGAGGCCCCTGCGCTTGCTTATTTTAAATCTTACATTACTAATAGGTATCAGTACGTCACCATTAAAGACACAGCATCAGCAACACGGCCACTTGATACAGGAGTTCCGCAGGGAAGTGTCCTTGGTCCCCTGCTCTTCCTCAATACATCAATGACCTTCCAAACGTATCCCCAACACCTGAAACCCATTCTCTTTGCTGATGACACGACTTATGTCATCTCTCACCCTAATCTTGCCACCCTCAACACCATTGTGAAAGAGGAGCTGATTAAAATATCGACTTGGATGACAGCCAATAAACTTACGCTTAACACTGACAAAAAACCCACTATATTTGTTTGGTAGCAGAGCAGGAGATGCACAAATTAACATTAAGATTGACAACACTCTAATTTTCCAGAAATAATGGGGGAAAATTCCTAGGCTTATACCTTGACTACAACCTGAATTTCAGACCCATATCCAGCAAAATAGCCAAAAAAGATCCAAAACGGTTGGGGTCCTCTCAAGATACGATACTACGTGGGCCCCAAAATGCCCCCTTCTCACACTAAAACCACTCACTTATTTTATCCATACCCCACCTATGCTATTTGTGCTTGGGGATCAACTGCAGCAACACACCTAAAGCCAATAATAACCCAACAAAAAGCTGCAGTAAGAATAATCACTAAAAACCCATCCCTGGCAACACCCCCCCCCACACTTCATAGATCTAAACTTACTCCCAGTTCAGTACATCCACACTTACTACTGTGCAATCTATATCTACAGGCCTTAAACTCTAATATCAACCTTGACCTAAAACGCTTTCTTGAAGTTGTGACAGAACCCACAGGCATAAAAACCAAGACACAAACATTCTACGACATTCCCCGTGTCCGACTAAACCTTTACAAAAATTCAATGTATGTCAAAGGCCCTAAAATCTGGAATACCCTACCTGAGAAATCTAGAACTGCAGAAAACATTCATCACCTTCAAAACTACCATTAGAAAACATCTTATCTCCCTGATACACCCCGTCAACTAACTACACGAATACCACCTGGTGGTTCACAAATTACACTCGCTCACTCATTGAAACCCTAAACAGAAATTTTTAATCTCAGTCTTAAAATAATGAATCCTGTGATACTCCAATACTGAAACTATGTACTGTGCCAAAACAAAAGCATTCACATTGCTAAACTCACAAACTAGTATTTAGTCACTTAGCCATAATACCAACTTACCTCATAATTTGTAATATTTTACAATTAAGAATAAAACTAAGTATGCCCGAAATGCCTAGCCATTCTAAGCGTTCTAGTGGTACACTCTGTAATCACAATTTTACTACATGTAAACCAAACAATAACCAAATTTCTGTAAACTCAGCATTGTAATCCTTATAGAGAATAAACTTTGAATTGAAATGCCTAGCCATGCTAGGTGTTCTAGTGGTACACTCTGTAATCATTATTTTACTACATGTAAACCACACAATAACCAAATTCTGTAAACTCAGCATTGTAATCCTTATAGAGAATAAACTTTGAATTTGAATTTGAATAGCGCAAGCTGGACTCCAAGGTATTGGTCCAGTGTGGGTAGATTGGTAAAGCACTGCGTACCTTGTTCCAAGGTTCGTAGGTTCGAGTCTCCTTCAGCCAGAGATCAGTGTATATGCTACTATGTATGATAATCTATGTAACTGTATTTGTGTATACCTGAATAAACTTACTTACTATACTTACTAATTTCTGCACCGGTGTTGGTGGAGTGTAGACGTGTTTACTCAGCGAGTACGATTCCTGGCTTTGCTTGTGTTTAGGGTTGATGGACCTTAACAACTCCAGCAAATATATGAACATAATCCATCAGCAAATTGGATTTTAAAGGACGTCTTCGCCAACCTTCGTCGAGTGTGGACGTTTCGCTTTCGCCTAAGTATCAGTGACAAATTTTCCCCGTTCTCTCCGGGATGCTTGTCTTCATCTACTTGGCCTACTGGGCCCGTTACAGGAGGGGCACCTTACGTTAACTCAATTTTACTGTGCCCCGTGGCCTGGTGGCTAAAGCTCTCGCTTCACACGGTGAAGCGTGGGTTCGATTCCCAGAGAGGGTAGAAACATTGGGGGTGTTTCTTTACATCGGTTGTTTACTTTCACCCATCAGTAAAATGGGTATTTGGGAGTTAATCGACTGGTTTGGATCGCATCCTGCGACAAAACTGACCTAATTTGCCCGAAATGCTCTGCATAACAACCAGCTTTGTACATAGTAGTCACTGATGTCACTGATGTCAGCTACAACTGTATATCATGTACATGTACTTATAATAAAATTATTATTATTATTATTATTATTATTATTATTATTATTATTATTATTATTATTATTATTTAGCCCGCTCCATTTTCCGTTCTGCTGATAATTCTTTACAATTTTGATGTAAGCTGGCTACCAACTCAGGTAAAGTGTGGGCGTCTCACTCCAGTGGGACTTGTCAAGGGGTCCACCGGATCTAATTGGAAATTTTCAAGTTTCTATTTCTATTTAAAAAGGAACTTTTGTTCCATTTCTTTCAGTGGCCGACCTCGGGAAATACATGTTGGTGGTGTGAGCGGGACGCCGAGCGAGATACAACTTAAGCTGTCAGTGGCTCTTATAAACCCAACACACAAGAAACATTTGATCATGGCGTCTGTATGTATAGGAAATCTTGTGCGTAATTCTGCAAAAGTTTTCCGTAATTCTTATATCACACAAGTTAGAACTCCATACGGGTTACAGGTAATAATTTAAGAAATTTGTTTTATAGGTATAAAATACGGTTAATAAGTTACGTATTACCTGGAGTTTATCTGGAGAGAGTTCCGGGGGTCAACGCCCCCGCGGCCCGGTCTGTGACCAGGCCTCCTGGTGGATCAGAGCCTGATCAACCAGGCTGTTGCTGCTGGCTGCACGCAAACCAACGTACGAGCCACAGCCCGGCTGATCAGGAACTGACTTTAGGTGCTTGTCCAGTGTCAGCTTGAAGACTGCCAGGGGTCTGTTGGTAATCCCCCTTATGTATGCTGGGAGGCAGTTGAACAGTCTCGGGCCCCTGACACTTATTGTATGGTCTCTTAGTAATTGCACATGTTAGTATAGTAATTGTAATTATTTATACCCGTACCTAAATAAACTTAGTTAAATACTAAATAGTTTTTCTATATTCTTTATATGATACAATGCTGTGAATTTTTTATATAAGTTTGGCTATAGTTTACGACTATACTACTTGGCGGCACTCGAGCATTAGTTTATATTTTACAATACATATAACCATTGTACATCACTTAATAAGTATTTCTTGTATAAATTGTTATTTTGGGGAATATTTGCAACAACAGTGCACTTATTTGGGATGCATAGCACGTCTGAGCCAGTCACCATTATTATTATTATTATTATTATTATTATTATTATTATTATTATATTATTATTATCATACCAAAGTGTTAAACCCATAAAGGTCATACAGAGCTGAGCCAGTCAGCAGTGTTAAGTCGTGTCGTGCACCTGGACGAACGAATATACTTACCTTCTAATGGCTAGATTAAGTTATTTTAGGTTGGGCTTGGTGGGATTTGTTACCTGGAGTTTACCTGGATTGAGTTCCGGGGGTCAACGCCCCCGCGGCCCGGTCTGTGACCAGGCCTCCTGGTGGATCAGAGCCTGATCAACCAGGCTGTTACTGCTGGCTGCACACAATCCAATGTACGAGCCACAGCCTGGCTGGTCAGGAACCGACTTTAGGTGCTTGTCCAGTGACTGCTTGAAGACAGCCAGGGGTCTATTGGTAATCCCCCTTATGTATGCTGGGAGCCAGTTGAACAGTCTCAGGACCCTGACACTTATTGTATTGTCTCTTAACGTGCTAGTGACACCCCTGCTTTTCATTGGGGGGATGTTGCATCGTCTGCCGAGTCTTTTGCTTTCGTTGTGAGTGATTTTCATGTGCAAGTTCAGTACTAGTCCCTCTAGGATTTTCCAGGTGTATATAATCGTGTATCTCTTATGCCTGCGTTCCAGGGAATACAGTTTTAGGAACTTCAAGCGCTCCCAGTAATTGAGGTGTTTTATCTCCGTTATGTGCACCGTGAAGGTTCTCTGTACATTTCTAGGTCAGCAATTTCACCTGCCTTAGGTTAGGTGTTGTTAATTTTTTTTTCTTTTTATCATTTCGATGACAAAAATGATTTCAACAGTGAAGCAAACTTAATATTGTACAATTCAAATTAGAATTAATAGTTGAAATCTGCCACAGAGCAGTCATCATCTATTACCATATATTTTTATTTGAACCTCATAAGTATGAATTTTTACAATGGTTTTGTACAGTGAATTGTCTAGAATTTAATCTAGCATATCCCAGTAACTGAAATTACTAGCTATCCATCATCTTTGTCATGGTTGTTACGAAGTCTCCACATTTTTAAACAACTGATATCAGTGGGTTATCCAGACAGCAGGTTCTTCAACTTGTTAATGCTGTATGACCCTTGTAGATTTAGCACTTCTTTTTGCTTGTAATAATAATTGACTTGTTAAAAATATTACCACATGTTAACCAGTCACATTCTTTACATACTGGTTAGTGCTTGCCTAATAGCTGTAGAAAATTTATGTGTGGAGAACTCTTCACTACTAGGATATTCACTAGGAAAATATCAGACTTCTAACCGATTGATTACTTGGGAACATTAATGAAATCACTTGCATTATTTATAGTAAATATATTTTTGTTTATAATTACAATGTATAGTATGTATGAAAACATATATATGTTGGTTATTTAAACTAATTGACTCCACAATTAAATTCAACAGGATGCCCAGTAGAGTATGTACATATGTACTTACATCCAAACCCTCCTTATTTATATTTGTTAATAAAATTGCTCCTCCTCTGAGAGACTACTTAATGATGAGGGGATTTTGATCAAAATCAAATAATAATCTTTATTTCTTAGAAGTATACATCAAAGTTACAGTGATTGGTTACAGTTTTGATGCAATTATGATACAAATATAATTTGCTGTATTTACAGGCTCAAAAGAAAGCCACTTAATATCCAAAGCATTTCCTTGGATCAAATCTGATTTCCTCCCAATTCCCCAGGTACTATATGAACCCTTTGGGTTTGGTACTCTCCCCATGAATATATAATAATTAATAATAATAATAATAATAATAATAATAATAATAATAATAATAAAAATTTAAAATAAAATCACACAAAAATATCTTCAATATTTTGTGGATACACACTTAAATAACAAACTTATATGCAGTATACTCATCTGACATACATTAAAGTTTCTAAAGCAGTGAACATTATTTCAAAGATTCACTTCTGTTTGCTGTATCCCACAGTAATAATAGTACATAATAATAATATAATTTTTTTAAACATCTCCCATCAAGATAGGGTGACCTGAAAAAGAAGAAACACTTTACCATCTTGCCAGAGGTGTGCTCAGATCCCCCTCCAAACTGCAATATCCAGAGTGCAGGCACTGTACTTCCTACCTCCAGGATTCAAGTCTGGCTAACCAGTTTCCTGAATCCCTTCATAAATGTTACCTTGTTCACACTCCAACAGTACATGTATAGTCTTAGAAACTACTTGCCTCCACTTACTCCTATGTAATATGCTGATACATGCCTGTTGGATGTCCAGGTCCATTGCATACAAAATCTTGACCCCCTCCCTCCAACCTTTCCTAGGATGACCCCTTCCCCCACACACATTCTCTGAATATCACAGTTTGGTTTGATTAGGTACAGATATGTTAGATATTCATAAATTTTGTCGGTAATCTTATTTGTTGGCAGGAAACTAATTATAGAAAACATCATCTGAAATGATGTCATGACTTGTCGGTCATTAGCAATTACAGTGGACCCTCGGTTATTGGCTGTAATCCATTCCAGAAGGTCGGCCGAAATCCGAAATAATATTTTCCATGAGAATTAGTGTAAATCCAATTAATCTGTTTCAGACATCCAAAAGTATTTGCAAAAAATACATTTTTTAAAGATTAACTATAGTTTTACATACAGAAAACAATGAGTACATTCATTATTTACCTTAAAATATTTGTAGTCTTAATGCAGGCCAAGAGGTGAGTAGTATTTATTTGTAGGAAGTCAGTGTAGGCAGCGGTAGATGTGGGTACAGTACACGTATGTAGCCCCCCCTGGGCTACACTACACAGCCATATTATTACCATATTCACTGAGTTTAATCATTTCTAACAACTGCCTTCAGATGCCATCATAAACAAAGGGAGAAGTAATGAATAATTCATGCCAAGAATTGTAAACAAATGAGTATGATGGGCAGTTACTGGGCGAGATGCCAGATTCACAGTTTTCTCTAATGCTGAATCAGAAAAAACGTAATGTTTACTCTCCACCTGATTCTCCACTCGAAAGCATATAAATACTGCATGTTTATACGCTATGTTTATATGCCCTATGCTATGTAACGTGTTTCTTATATAATTTTGAAGAAAATATCATATATGGATTAATGAAAATGTCTATATTAACCTAAAATAAGACATTTAATGTTCCCAAGAGTGATTATTATTAAACGTACATCACATATAAACATTGCTACACTCCCTGCCTTCCTGCTACACTCCCTGCCTTCCTGCTACACTCCCTGCCTTCCTGCTACACTCCCTGCCTTCCTGCTACACTCCCTGCATGCCTGCTACACTCCCTGCATGCCTGCTACACTCCCTGCATGCCTGCTACACTCCCTGCATGCCTGCTACACTCCCTGCATGCCTGCTACACTCCCTGCATGCCTGCTACACTCCCTGCATGCCTGCTACACTCCCTGCATGGCTGCTACACTCCCTGCATTCCTGCTACACTCCCTGCATGCCTGCTACACTGCCTGCCTGCTACACTGCCTGCATGCTACACTCCCTGCATGTCTGCTACACTCCTTGCTTCTATGCCTGCCTGCCTTGAATTCTGTCATGTTTCTCACTTTCTTTACCAAAGGAACTATACTAGGAACTTTCTTTGGGGCCATGGTTACTTATTTTGCAGTTGCACTTAATCAATAACCACCAAAAACAATGGATTATAGCGAAATGTTTGGATGAATAAGCAGAATCTTCCTCACTCGCCCAGAGACACAGCCACACTGACTCAGGAACGTGCAGGCGGCTGGCGGTGGATGCGTCCAATAAGGCTGATAAGCAAAATAACAGCTGATAACTGGAAGCCGAAAAAACGGCCAATAACTGAGTTGGCCGATAAGTGGAACGGCCGATAACCGAGGGTCCACTGTACCTTAGTCTTTAAAAAGCTAAAATTTTTAAAATAAAAAGCTAAAACTTTTAAAATAAAAATGCTGGTAAGGTTACAGTAACAAAAGAAGGGAAACTTAGTGAAAATTATCAAAAAATAAAATACCTGTTCACTTTACAAAATAAGTCAGGGAACTGTTATTTATTCACATTCAGTAATTATAAGCTTTCTACTGGTCTTTCCCACATAGATATGCTTAGATATACTTTCTGTTTCAGATTAGGTGTTGGAATAGTACTACACCTGAACCTTCAAGCAAGCCCTTAACCAGTGTTCCAGCATCAGATACCATAAAACATGAGGGAAGTGGTAACCAGCTTATTAAAGTTAGCAAAGCTATGAAGGCATATCAAGAGAAAGCACAGGCACTTGGTAAGATGTTAGAACCTTCTTATTTTGTGTTAGGTAAGAGTCATTAGAGATCACTTATTAATACTCTAATGCAGTGTGAGCTGTTGAGTAGTGTATGCCCAGCAAAGCTCTAGTTCATTTTTGGAAAATGAGGAGGCTGCTTCCATAAGGTACAACTCCTGGGGATGATCACAGTTCTCACCCCGTATATGCTTAAAAACTGACCCCACTAGTTACTTTTGTATATGCTTGCAAATATTGATCTGCCACATAACCTATTAAAGGATGTTTACAGCAGTCGGTACGCTATTGGTGGAATTTTTAATTACAGTAGACCGTCTTTTAACACGGTAGTTACGTTCCTGAACACGCTGTGTTAGACAAAACTGTGTTAGACAAACTAAAGAACTTTTGGGAAAAATGGGGTTATGTTCCTGGGAGCCCCCAAAAAGCCAAACAACTTTTTATTTAGACCTCCAGATCTTACAAAAATAAAAGGAATATGTAATTGTAGTTCATTGTTGTGATGTATTATGTTGTTTTTACTGCTTAAGACTACAAATTCAACAGAAATAATAGTATTTCTTGCCTTAAATTGTGGGTGCTGGTGTTTGTTGATAATTGTGAAAAAGTGAAAAGTCTAACTTAGTCATTCTGTAAGTCAGTTATTCAGTCAGTCAAGTCAGTAAGTTATTCAATCAAGTCAGTAAGTCAGTCAGTTCAGTAAATCAGTCAGTCAGTTCAGTAAATCAGTCAGTCAGTTCAGTAAATCAGTTAGTCAAGTCAGTAAGTCATTCAGTCAAGTCATTCAGTCAGATCAGTCAGTAAGCCAGTCAATCAAATAAGTAAAGTCAGTGAAGTCAGCAAGTCAGTCAGTCATCACACAAACTTATAGTTACCTCATTCTTTTTGTGTACAAAATGACACTTCATTCCGGCTACAGGCTGTCTCTTGTCTGATATCTCTATTTTCTTCATTAATTCTAAAACCTAAAAGCTTAAACCTTTTCTTGCAACTTTCAGCAACACTTGTATGCCTACTGAGTCCATGATTGTTTGGCAGATTTAAGATATGGCAATTAATACTTTTCTAAACAAACACAGCGAGCTACTGGCACAGGTTCGTCCAACACACATATGAACCGAAATAAAGGCTGGGAGGGTGGTGGGGGTGGCTGATGCTGGCAGGGGATGGCAATAGCCCATCCCGCCCTGCGGGCAACTGTGTGCTCAAAATGTTTCCCTCCCACAACCGTGTTAAATTAATTTTACGACGTGTTAAACAAAAATGTGCCTCATTCTTCAATCGTGCTATAACCAAAACATGCAAGACAAAACCATGTTAAATGACAGTCTACTGTATTATAAGGCAGCAAACCATTCAAAAAAAGGTCTGTAGTAAAATTCTCAAATTCTCAAAAGCCACTTAATCACCCTAGACTAAATGCTGAATACTCAGTACACACATACTTATGTATTCCCACATCATAATTTCAACAATTACTTTGAACCTTTTATCCCTTGTTGACAGGAATATAATTGAATCATTGTTTTCACAAAAAAGCATTTTTGAATATATGAATATATCTTTTGTCTTATATAAATTAGATTCACTTATAATTAATAATCTACTATACAACTATGATATAATTAATATTCTGCTGTACAACTATGACATAATTCTTAGTGTTAAATAATCTGTAAGCCAATAATGTTAAGTCGGCCCATTATGCCTAGGCATAATAGAGGCTCTCTCTGCATTGCAACCCATTATTGTAAATGCAAAATCTCAATGTACTATTTGCAAAGACATAAATAAATAAAATAAATAATATAAGTTATTTTGCTATAATACAAGGTCCCTAAGTAAAAATTTTGATATGAATTAGTTACCAAAATTTTATTTATAATGCTAAGAATGACCTGGTTGAAACTGAATATAATAAATGTATTCAACATAGGTTGGTATACAACCATTCACTACTGTAGACTTGTCAATAATTGCAATGTATAAATGTCACGAACACTACGGATGAATTCAGAGAAAATATATTTCCTCAGTTTACCTTCTCCTATGCTAAATCCCTAATAACAGTTGAAGACTATACAGAATTTCACACACCATAATTAATTTCAATGACATTCTTAGAAAAATAATACTGTGATTAACAACAAGCTCAGTTGCTGGTAACTACAACACAAACCTTTGCCAACCAAATGATCTTGAACAGTATGTACCCTTGCCTCTTAATACTATACAGCATTCTCAGTTACAAAACCCACTTGAATTACCAAGAGATTTCTGTCTCGAGACAATACTTGGACTAACATAATGCTGATATAATCACTGACAGTATAACAGACTAGAGCCCCACTTTTCTAATGATAAATATTACTAAAGCCTTCAGTGAACAACTTTACCAGAGCAATAAAACACATCAAATGTAAAAATGAGCCAAACCTTTAGCCATAATGTGAATAATTTTGTGGAAAATTTCTTTAACATTACATAGCACTTCATTATGCAATGCCTCCTGAAATCACAATAAATTACTCAAGTGTAGATGTGTATTACAGAAACTAGACAAGTTTTCACAAGTGGATTTAATCATCTGAGCTATGATGGCTGTGTAGTACTATTCTTGCTGGTACAATAGCAATGATGATCAGACAGCCACCAAGGCAGTCTGATCACAGGCTGGGTTCAAGAGTAAAACTCAGGTATGAAGGATAGGGCACAGGAGGCTGGGAATCAATAAACTTGGTCATTAGTACATAAGAGGTAAGTCTAGGAGCTATGATTGGACCCTGCAAACTCAACTAGGCTAGTACATAGTGTAAACAAGAGTCCAGCAACTCCGGATATTCAAGATATATTGATAGATCTCAAAAGTCAGTCTTCAGTGAAATGGTCTTTGGTTATAGACCAATAACTATATTTTTATTTTTTCATTAATTGAATTTCATGGTTACTTACTCATATATTTATGCTAAAGTAGGAGAAACTTTTAGGGAGGGATGGGGTAGGTAAGTTTGGGGTGCCAGGTGTAAATGATAATGGGAGCCCTTTGATTGAACTTTGTATAGAAAGGGGTTTAGTCATAGGTAATACATATTTTAAGAAAAAGAGGATAAATAAGTATACAAGATATGATGTAGGGCAAAATGACAGTAGTTTGTTGGATTATGTATTGGTAGATAAAAGACTGTTGAGTAGACTTTAGGATGTACATGTTTATAGAGGGGCCACAGATATATCAGATCACTTTCTAGTTGTAGCTACACTGGGAGTAAAAGGTAGATGGGATACAAGGAGAATAGAAGCATCAGGGAAGAGAGAGGTGAAGGTTTATAAACTAAAAGAGGAGGCAGTTAGGGTAAGATATAAACAGCTATTGGAGGATAGATGGGCTAATGAGAGCATAGGCAATGGGGTCGAAGAGGTATGGGGTAGGTTTAAAAATGTAGTGTTGAGTGTTCAGCAGAAGTTTGTGGTTACAGGAAGGTGGGTGCAGGAGGGAAGAGGAGCGATTGGTGGAATGATGATGTAAAGAGAGTAGTAAAGGAGAAAAAGTTAGCATATGAGAAGTTTTTACAAAGTAGAAGTGATGCAAGGAGGGAAGAGTATATGGAGAAAAAGAGAGTGGTTAAGAGAGTGGTGAAGCAATGTAAAAAGAGAGCAAATGAGAGAGTGGGTGAGATGTTATCAACAAATTTTGTTGAAAATAAGAAAAAGTTTTGGAGTGAGATTAACAAGTTAAGGAAGCCTAGAGAACAAATGGATTTGTCAGTTAAAAATAGGAGAGGAGAGTTATTAAATGGAGAGTTAGAGGTATTGGGAAGATGGAGGGAATATTTTGAGGAATTGTTAAATGTTGATAAAGATAGGGAAGCTGTGATTTCGTGTTATAAGGCAAGGAGGAATAACATCTTGTAGGAGTGAGGAAGAGCCAGTTGTGAGTGTGGGGGAAGTTCATGAGGCAGTAGGTAAAATGAAAGGGGGTAAGGCAGCCGGGATTGATGGGATAAAGATAGAAATGTTAAAAGCAGGTGGGGATATAGTTTTGGAGTGGTTGGTGCAATTATTTAATAAATGTATGGAAGAGGGTAAGGTACCTAGGGATTGGCAGAGAACATGCATAGTTCCTTTGTATAAAGGCAAAGGGGACAAAAGAGAGTGCAAAAATTATAGGGGGATAAGTCTGTTGAGTATACCTGGTAAAGTGTATGGTAGAGTTATTATTGAAAGAATTAAGAGTAAAACGGAGAATAGGATAGCAGATGAACAAGGAGGCCTTAGGAAAGGTAGGGGGTGTGTGGACCAGGTGTTTACAGTGAAACATATAAGTGAACAGTATTTAGATAAGGCTAAAGAGGTCTTTGTGGCATTTATGGACTTGGAAAAGGCATATGACAGGGTGGATAGGGGGGCAGTGTGGCAGATGTTGCAGGTGTATGGTGTAGAGGTAGGTTTTCTGAAAACATGAAGAGTTTTTACGAGGTATGAGGTTTTGAGATGGGAAAATAGGGATTAAAGGGGGGAATGGCTTTAAAAATGTGTGAAACACCTTTGGAAAATATAGTGGTTTTTGAAATTTTTTCTTTTTGGGGCCACCTGCTTGGTGGGAATCGGCGGTGTGATAATAAAAATAAAATTAAAGTGAGGCTCAAGTTAGAGTATGTGGGAAAAGAGGGAAATTTTTTTCCAGTAAAAGTAGGCCTTAGACAAGGATGTGTGATGTCCCCGGGGTTGTTTAATATTTTTTATAGATGGGGTGTAAGAGAAGTAAATGCGAGGGTCTTGGCAAGAGGCGTGGAGTTAAAAGATAAAGAATTCACACAAAAAGTGGGAGTTATCACAGTTGCTCTTTTTCTGATGACACTTTTGCTCTTGGAGATTCTGAAGAGAAGTTGCAGAGATTGGTGGATAAATTTTGGGTAGATGTGCAAAGAAGAAAATTAAAAGTGAATACGGGAAAGAGTAAGGTTATGGGATAACAAAAAGTTTTGGTGATGAAAGATTGGATATCAGATTGGAGGGAGAGAGTATGGAGGAGGTGAATGTATTCAGATATTTGGGAGTGGACGTGTCAGCGGATGGGTCTATGAAAGAGAGGTGATTCATAGAATTGATGAGGGGAAAAGGGTGAGTGGTGCGCTTGGGGAGTCTGTGGAGACAAAGAACTTTGTCCTTGGAGGCAAAGAGGGGAATGTATGAGAGTATATTTTCTACCAACGCTATTATATGGGTGTGAAGCATGGGTGATGAAGTTGCAGCAAGGAGAAGGCTGGAGGCAGTGGAGATGTCTGTCTGAGGGCAAGTGTGGTGTGAATATAATGCAGAGAATTCGTAGTTTGGAAGTTAGGAGGAGGTGCGGGATTACGAAAACTGTTGCCCCAGAGGGCTGAGGAAGGGTTGTTGAGGTGGTTCGGACATGTAAGAGAATGGAGCGAAACAGAGTGACTTCAAGAGTGTATCAGTCTGCAGTGGAAAGAAGGCGGGGTAGGGAATCGGCCTAGGAAAGGTTGGAGGGAGGGGGTAAAGGAGGTTTTGTGTGCGAGGGGCTTGGACTTCCAGCAGGCATGCGTGAGCATGTTTGATAGGAGTGAATGGAGACAAATGGTTTTTAATACTTGACGTGCTGTTAGAGTGTGAGCAAAGTAACATTTATGAAGGGGTTCAGGGAAACCGGCAGGCCGGACTTGAGTCCTGGAGATGGGAAGTACAGTGCCTGCACTCTGAAGGAGGGGTGTTAATGTTGCAGTTTAAAAACTGTAGTGTAAAGCACCCTTCTGGCAAGACAGTGATGGAGTGAATGATGGTGAAAGTTTTTCTTTTTCGGGCCACCCTGCCTTGGTGGGAATCGGCCAGTGTGATAATAATTAATAAATAAAAATATTTATGTAAAGACTGAAAGTTTGGCATCACCACAGGACGACATTGTAAGAGGTTTAATGAAGTCATGTTTTTGGTTTTCAGATACAGTATAAATGATGTATTAGCACCTACCCATTATGAAAATATCAGAGTTTGACACCAAAGTTGTGCATTGTTAATGTGTCTGAATGACAATGGTCCAGGACAAACCAAAGCATTGAATGTTTAAATTACATTTGGTATCTTGCTTGTCATTTACTGAGGATACTTTGTCTAGGGATATGGTCTAAAATCTAAAAATCTATTTACTGTAGTAAACTGTTTTCGTTCAACACACTCACTATTAGCAAACTTTCCTTACGAACATATTCCTCATTCAGAACAAGAGAGTAGAGGACAGTGCTGTTTTCATAATTTATATGTAATTTTTTCTTTGTATAGATGCACTTATGTTTGAAAAAACTACGGAGTATGAAATTGGTCGTCGTCATCTTGCCAACATGATGGGAGAAGATCCTGAAACTTTCACAGATGAAGATATTGATGTAAGTGTTTTGTAACTCATTATATGTAAGAGATTTCAAGTAGCATTTGTGGAGTAGAGAATTAATATTTTTTTTTTTATTTTTTATTATCACACTGGCCGATTCCCACCAAGGCAGGGTGGCCCGAAAAAGAAAAACTTTCACCATCATTCACTCCATCACTGTCTTGCCAGAAGGGTGCTTTACACTACAGTTTTTAAACTGCAACATTAACACCCCTCCTTCAGAGTGCAGGCACTGTACTTCCCATCTCCAGGACTCAAGTCCGGCCTGCCGGTTTCCCTGAATCCCTTCATAAATGTTACTTTGCTCACACTCCAACAGCACGTCAAGTATTAAAAACCATTTGTCTCCATTCACTCCTATCAAACACGCTCACGCATGCCTGCTGGAAGTCCAAGCCCCTCGCACACAAAACCTCCTTTACCCCCTCCCTCCAACCCTTCCTAGGCCGACCCCTACCCCGCCTTCCTTCCACTACAGACTGATACACTCTTGAAGTCATTCTGTTTCGCTCCATTCTCTCTACATGTCCGAACCACCTCAACAACCCTTCCTCAGCCCTCTGGACAACAGTTTTGGTAATCCCGCACCTCCTCCTAACTTCCAAACTACGAATTCTCTGCATTATATTCACACCACACATTGCCCTCAGACATGACATCTCCACTGCCTCCAGCCTTCTCCTCGCTGCAACATTCATCACCCACGCTTCACACCCATATAAGAGCGTTGGTAAAACTATACTCTCATACATTCCCCTCTTTGCCTCTAAGGACAAAGTTCTTTGTCTCCACAGACTCCTAAGTGCACCACTCACTCTTTTTCCCTCATCAATTCTATGATTCACCTCATCTTTCATAGACCCATCCGCTGACACGTCCACTCCCAAATATCTGAATACGTTCACCTCCTCCATACTCTCTCCCTCCAATCTGATATTCAATCTTTCATCACCTAATCTTTTTGTTATCCTCATAACCTTACTCTTTCCTGTATTCACCTTTAATTTTCTTCTTTTGCACACCCTACCAAATTCATCCACCAATCTCTGCAGCTTCTCTTCAGAATCTCCCAAAAGCACAGTGTCATCAGCAAAGAGCAGCTGTGACAACTCCCACTTTGTGTGTGATTCTTTATCTTTTAACTCCATGCCTCTTGCCAAGACCCTCGCATTTACTTCTCTTACAACCCCATCTATAAATATATTAAACAACCACGCTGACATCACACATCCTTGTCTAAGGCCTACTTTTACTGGGAAAAAATTTCCCTCTTTCCTACATACTCTAACTTGAGCCTCACTATCCTCGTAAAAACTCTCACTGCTTTCAGTAACCTACCTCCTACCCATACACTTGCAACATCTGCCACATTGCCCCCCTATCCACCCTGTCATACACCTTTTCCAAATCCATAAATGCCACAAAGACCTCTTTAGCCTTATCTAAATACTGTTCACTTATATGTTTCACTGTAAACACCTGGTCCACACACCCCCTACCTTTCCTAAAGCCTCCTTGTTCATCTGCTATCCTATTCTCCGTCTTACTCTTAATTCTTTCAATTATAACTCTACCATACACTTTACCAGGTACACTCAACAGACTTATCCCCCTATAATTTTTGCACTCTCTTTTATCCCCTTTGCCTTTATACAAAGGAACTATGCATGTTCTCTGCCAATCACTAGGTACCTTACCCTCTTCCATACATTTATTAAATAATTGCACCAACCACTCCAAAACTATATCCCCACCTGCTTTTAACATTTCTATCTTTATCCCATCAATCCCGGCTGCCTTACCCCCTTTCATTTTACCTACTGCCTCACGAACTTCCCCCACACTCACAACTGGCTCTTCCTCACTCCTACAAGATGTTATTCCTCCTTGCCCTATACACGAAATCACAGCTTCCCTATCTTCATCAACATTTAACAATTCCTCAAAATATTCCCTCCATCTTCCCAATACCTCTAACTCTCCATTTAATAACTCTCCTCTCCTATTTTTAACTGACTAAATCCATTTGTTCTCTAGGCTTTCTTAACTTGTTAATCTCACTCCAAAACTTTTTCTTATTTTCAACAAAATTTGTTGATAACATCTCACCCACTCTCTCATTTGCTCTCTTTTTACATTGCTTCACCACTCTCTTAACCTCTCTCTTTTTCTCCATATACTCTTCCCTCCTTGCATCACTTCTACTTTGTAAAAACTTCTCATATGCTAACTTTTTCTCCCTTACTACTCTCTTTACATCATCATTCCACCAATCGCTCCTCTTCCCTCCTGCACCCACTTTCCTGTAACCACAAACTTCTGCTGAACACTCTAACATTCCATTTTAAACCTACCCCATACCTCTTCGACCCCATTGCCTATGCTCTCATTAGCCCATCTATCCTCCAATAGCTGTTTATATCTTACCCTAACTGCCTCCTCTTTTAGTTTATAAACCTTCACCTCTCTCTTCCCTGATGCTTCTATTCTCCTTGTATCCCATCTACCTTTTGCTCTCAGTGTAGCTACAACTAGAAAGTGATTTGATATATCTGTGGCCCCTCTATAAACATGTACATCCTGAAGTCTACTCAACAGTCTTTTATCTACCAATACATAATCCAACAAACTACTGTCATTTCGCCCTACATCATATCGTGTATACTTATTTATCCTCTTTTTCTTAAAATATGTATTACCTATAACTAAACCCCTTTCTATACAAAGTTCAATCAAAGGGCTCCCATTATCATTTACACCTGGCACCCCAAACTTACCTACCACACCCTCTCTAAAAGTTTCTCCTACTTTCTCCTACTGTACACAACAGACCTCACATAATGAAGGGGAAGGTAAAAGGGATATGAAGTTAGCAGAAACTGAATTGACAGTGATTAAGGGTGTAATGATGAAGTTAAGAATTCAAAAAGCTAAGTTAATTTTCCATGTCACAGTTTGGTTGTCTCTTCAGATTTGCAGAGATTATGTTCCCAGAGGTCCCAAGAAACTAAAAACTGTGGGTAATACAAAATTAAACCTACGTAACAAATTTGGTTTTAGATTTGGGTTCATTTTGTGCTTCATAGTCCTTATCTTTAACACTAGTCTGATTAATAATTTTTTTTTTTCAATGAACTGGTCAGATCAGGCCCTGATCCACCATGAGGCCTGGTCACAGACCGGGCCGTGGGGGCATTGACCCCTGAACCCTCTCCATGTATACTCCAGGTATCCCACTGAGGCAGGGTGACCTAAAAGAAAAAAGTTTTTCTTTTCAAATTTAGTAATTTATACAGAAAAAGGGGTTACCAGCCCCTAGCTCTGGCATTTTAGTCACCTCTTACAACACGCATGGCTTATGGAGGAAGAATTCTGTTCCACTTTCCCCTTAGATTATTAATGATATTCATAAGAAATAATAACTGTAGACCAAGGTAATATTTTGCGAAGAGATTCAGGGAAACTTGTTAGCTGGATTTTAGTCCTGGAGATGGGAAGTACAGTGCCTGCACTCTAAAAGAGGTATTTGGGATATTGCTGTATAGAAGGATGTCTAAACTATCGTATATGCATGCCTTTAACAAGACCATGATAGTGTGCATGATGGTGAAAGTGTTTCTATTTTGGGTCAATCTGCCTTGGTGAGAGATGGCCAGTGTGTTTAAAAAAACTATTATTCAAATAATAATTAAAATTGCTCAGTTTTTGTCAGTTAATGGTAAGAGGGACCAGCTGGGGATTCTACTTGGATCCCTTCATTCATAAACCATGTGGATGTGGAAGGCTATTGAGTAACATTTGGAGATTCACAAGGCATTTACTCACCCTCTTCTTAAGAACTGGTATGTCAATAAGCAGTGGAAGTGGTCATTTATGGGGAACAAATTTGTCGATATTGACCATTGAATTACACTGTTGGTAGCACATATACAACAAGGAAGCACAGTTTAGCAGAAAAGAAAATGGAGGTTAGAATGGAACAAAACTTATGGTTATTATGTTTTATTAACAGAGTAATAAGAGGTTTACTGATAGGCTGCTATTCCATTAAAAGTCTATGAAATCTCATCCCACAAATGTAATTTTTGAAAGATCTTCTTTGTTTCAATGAAAACAGTAAATCTAGATATAAACAGGAAGCAAAGATTCTGTCTTTATTGAATGTATAGTAATAGCATAATGCTGTATTAGTCCAGTAATATGCATTTTTCATTTCAGACAGCTATTGAGTATCTTTTTCCTTCTGGATTATTTGAACCACGTGCTCGTCCATTGATGAAGCACCCTACTGAGGTTTTTGCACGGAAAAAAGTAGCAGAATTTGATGAAACTGGACGTCCCTTCCATGTATTATTTTACACAGGCTTGCCTAATTACTACCAAGTTTTGCATGTAAGTTTCTTCTATAACTGGATTTTTTATATAATGTTCATTTATTGCATATTTTTATTATTCTTTCTTTAATTTATTAGTGCATGAGCATGTTAGATAGGAGTGAATGGAGACGAATGGTATTTGGGACCTGACGATCTGTTGGAGTGTGAGCAGGGTAATATTTAGTGAAGGGATTCAGGGAAACCGGTTATTTTATATAGCCAGACTTGAGTCCTGGAAATGGGAAGTACAATGCCTGCACTGTAAAGGAGGGATTGAGGATATTGGCAGTTTGGAGGGATATGTTGTGTATCTTTATACATATATGCTGTATAGTCCTTGTGGCTTAGCGCTTCTTTTTGATTATAATAATAATAATAATAATTTATACATATATACTTATAGGGGGATAAGTCTGTTGAGTATACCTAGTAAAGTGTATGATAGAGTTATTATTGAAAGAATTTAAAGAGTAAGACGGAGAATAGGATAGCAGATGAACAAGGAGGCTTTAGGAAAGGTAGGGGGTGTGTGGACCAGGTGTTTACAGTGAAACATATAAGTGAACAGTATTTAGATAAGGTTAAAGAGGTCTTTGTGGCATTTATGGATTTGGAAAAGGCATATGACAGGGTGGATAGGGGGGCAATGTGGCAGATGTTGCAGGTGTATGGTGTAGGAGGTAGGTTACTGAAAGCAGTGAAGAGTTTTTACGAGGATAGTGAGGCTCAAGTTAGAGTATGTAGGAAAGAGGGAAATTATTCCCAGTAAAAGTAGGCTTAGACAAGGATGTGTGATGTCACCGTGGTTGTTTAATATATTTATAGAGGGGGTTGTAAGAGAAGTAAATTTTGAGGTCTTGGCAAGAGGCATGGAATTAAAAGATAAAGAATCACACAAAAAGTGGGATGGTTACAGTTGCTCTTTGCTGATGACACTGTGTCTTGGGAGATTCTGAAGAGAAGTTGCAGAGATTGGGGGATGAATTTGGTAGGGTGTGCAAAAGAAGAAAATTTAAAAAGTGAATACAGGAAAGAGTAAGGTTATGAGGATAACAAAAAGATTAGGTGATGAAAGATTGGATTCAGATTGGAGGGAGAGAGTATGGAGGAGGTGAATGTATTCAGATATTTGGGAGTGGACGTGTCAGCGGATGGGTCTATGAAAGATGAGGTGAATCATAGAATTGATGAGGGGAAAAGGGTGAGTGGTGCACTTAGGAGTCTGTGGAGACAAAAAAACTTTGTCTTGGAGCAAAAGGGGAATGTATGGAGAGTATAGTTTACCAACACTTTATATGGGTGTGAAGCATGGGTGATGAATGTTGCAGCGAGGAGAAGGCTGGAGGCAGGGGAGATGTCATGTCTGAGGGCAGTGTGTGGTGTGAATATATTGCAGAGAATTCGAAGTTTGGAAGTTAGGAGGAGGTGCGGGATTACCAAAACTGTTGTCCAGAGGGCTGAGGAAGGGTTGTTGAGGTGGTTTGGACATGTAGAGAGAATGGAGCGAAACAGAGTGACTTCAAGAGTGTATCAGTCTGTAGTGGAAAGAAGGCGGGGTAGGGGTCGGCCTAGGAAAGGTTGGAGGGAGGGAGTAAAGGAGGTTTTGTGTGCGAGGGGCTTGGACTTCCAGCAGGCATGCGTGAGCGTGTTTGATAGGAGTGAATGGAGACAAATGGTTTTTAATACTTGATGTGCTGTTGGAGTGTGAGCAAAGTAACATTTATGAAGGGGTTCAGGGAAACCGGCAGGCCGGACTTGAGTCCTGGAGAAGGGAAGTACAGTGCCTGCACTCTGAAGGAGGGGTGTTAATGTTGCAGTTTAAAAACTGTAGTGTAAAGCACCCTTCTGGCAAGACAGTGATGGAGTAAATGATGGTGAAAGTTTTTCTTTTTCGGGCCACCCTGCCTTGGTGGGAATCGGCCAGTGTGATGAAAAAAAAAAAAAAAACTTCTAAACTGTTGTATTCTGAGCACCTCTGCAAAAACAGTGATTATGTGTGAGTGAGGTGAAAGTGTTGAATGATGAAAGTATTTTCTCTTTGGGGATTTTCTTTCTTTTTGGGTCACCCTGCCTCAGTGGGAGACGGCTGACGTTAAAAAAAAAAATTACAGACCCATAGCCAGAGAAAGTTTAAGTGGGAAAACTGGGTAATACCCAAGATAGGCTGTCAGCAAACTGTAAAATGGCATCTAGGTCTATAGGCTTAACTTATAAGCATAAACAAACTAATACCACTATTGAATAGCACCATAGACAATCTTAAATTTGTTTTTGGTAACATGTCAACATTTTCCAATTATTATTTTTGGATATTAGGCCTTTTCGTTTCGAAATTCTGCAGATGGGGTAGCTGAAGGCCCCCTTCCCTTTCCTTGTGTCTTCAGGGGTTATGGCTTTGCAGCTCACTCAGGACAGCATTTGACTTGCAATTACAAGGCTCTAGGTTCAGTTATCTGGCATAGAGGAACATGTAAGCAGATTTCCTTACACTCCTGCTTACCCTGCCTACCTTCCTGACCAAAGGAGAATTGGGCAGATATTCAGTTACATTTCTAAATCACCAAGTACTTGCTTAGTTGTGTTGTGGGTGTTTTACCATGATTCTGGTTCAGATAAAGTTGGTTAAGGAAGCATCTGATGGATATGTATGTACCAGAAGGGTTAGGTGCATCCAGAAACTAACACAATAGCACCATACATGAAAACAAATTATAGTTAAAATGGTTAGAAACAGAATAAGGGAGTTAGTAGACGGGGAGTTGGAGGTATTAGGAAGATGGTGGGAATATTTTAAGGAACTGTTAAATGTTGATGAAGAGAGGGAGGCATTATTTTCATGCATTGGCCAGGAAGGTGTAACATCTTTTAGGAGTGAAGAAGAGCCAGATGTGAATGTGGGAGAGATGTATGATTCAGTGGGTAAAATGATAGGGGATAAAGCATCTAGGATTGGTGGGATTTTGACAGAAGTGTTAAAAGCAGGTGGGGATGTAGTTTTGGAGTGGTTGGTACTTTTGTGTATAGTTCCTTTATGTAAAGGGAAGGGAGACAAAAGAGAATGTCAAAATTATAGGGAAATAAGTCTACTGAGTATACCAAGTAAACTATTTGTATGGTAGGGTTTTTATTGAAAGAATTAAGGGTAAGATGGAGAGCAGGATTGCAGATGAAGAGGAGGCTTTAGAAAGGGTGGGGGATAAGTGAACATTATTTAGATACAAGTAGGGAAGTTTTCGTTGCAGAGAAGGCTTTCACTAGAGCTGAGTCTACGTCTTTCTACAGAGGCTCCACAATTTATGCATATTACCTAACTTCCAGTTGTATAGGGTTCTAAGAAAAGAATTATAAAGCTGTAATCATTTATCTTTATTAAAAATGATAGAAACTCAAATGTTTATACAAATTGTTTAAATGAAAATTAAAATTTACTTACACTACTTTGCTTTGAGCACTTAATGATGTGTGGAATGTCATGGCAAAGCTCAGTATTTGGCCCAGTGTCATAATTTAAAAATAGAGCAGCACTGCAGCAGGCTTAACGACATAAAACCATTTTCACTCACATACAATAGTTGTTTAACCTATTTTTAAAGGTATAGTGGAACCTCTTCTTACAAGTTTAATCTGTTCCGTAACGTAGCTCATAACCCGATCTGCTTGTATGCCGAGTCAATTTTCCTCATTTAAATTGAAATTTTATTAACCCTTTCAGGGTCGGCAGGCCCTCTCCCAAACCTGTTCTCGGAGTCCGTAAAAATTTGAAAAAAAAAAATTTTTTTTTTGTTATGAAAAGATAGTTTTTTTTTTTCTAAACTTTATAGGCTTAAAATTTTTTTTTGCCGTCAATACTTACGGAGATATGGAGGCGTGAAGTTGACAGAAATTGAACCACATACGGCAACATCGACTGCCGGTCACCCGGTAATAGTTTATTTTGTTTTTTCCTACTTTTTTCTTTTATTTTTTAATATTTAATTTTTTTCAAGTAACTTTTATGGCCTCTGAGACCAATATAAAGACTATTTGGTATGTATTCACTCATTGTATACTACACAATAACAGCACAAACTTTGCTGTCATTATATTGTTTACAAAACATGTTTACACAAACCATCAAAAAATTTTTATTACTATTTTTCTATCATATATATACTCATATAAAGTCACTGGACAGCTTCCTATAACTACAAGAGGTTCTGAAGTTTGTAATAGTGTGGGGGTCCATACAACAGGGCATAAGAAGATGAATACCATTCTTAATGAAGTTCAAGCAATTTGTAATCGGCTAGGCCTCATAATATCTTCCTCTAAAACAAAGATCTTAACAAGCAAACGACATCCCCCACCCATCTATTTGCAGGGTGAAATCATTAGCTACGTTAAAACTTACAGATATCTTGGTGTAGATGTACCCTTTAACAAATCCACTATACCACAACTAAACAAGAAATGCAAAGCTAGGCTAAATGCTCTCAAAGCTGTTGCTGGCTACAATCCCAACTATGGTGCTAATGTGAGAATCGTGAGAATGATGTACATAGCCTATGTTAGGTCCTTAATTGATTATGCTGCTCCCATGTTGATATTAGCTAGAGAAAGTTCTCTCCGACCCTTGGAGTTATTGCAAAATGAAGCTCTCAGGATTATTCTTGGCTGTCCCAGATCTACAAAAGTTCTTAACATGAGGAAGGAGCTTGGTATTTCTAGTATCAGTGATAGGATTGTTGAAATTAACACTGTACTTGGTATTAGAATGTTGAGAAACGAACCAGACACTGTCACAGTGAATCTTACCAAGTGTCTAGAGGTAAATACACACAGATCTAAATGGATTGTGAAAACGTGCAATTGCATTAAGTTTTATAACCTACATGAACTGTATCACTGTAGGCAACAAGAGCATTTCACCCCTCCATGGAAGATGTGTTCATTTAATATCACATACCTACAAGTCCCTCCCAAGAAGCTCATTGCTAGTAATCCCTTCCTTAAATCTCTTGTTAGAGCAACTGCTCA